GTACTCATACAAGAAATAAAGGTTCTCTGTTTTCACTTTTAGGAAATGTTGAATGTTCATGATCATTATCAAAATATGAAGCGTGCTATCTCAGCTGATAAGTCGATGCCAGACAAAGCCCTCAGCCTGGTAAAGGAGGATTTTTTTGACAACATTAAGAACATAGTTTTGGAGCATCAACAGTGGCACAAAGACAGGAAGGTAATTACTTGTGTGTTGCTGACCTACCTACCCCTGCATGGTGTACAGATGTTTAAGTGTGAGCAGTTTGTAGAGAAGGCAGCCTGGCACAGTGGCTGCCTTGCTGTCCCGTGAAGATTTAGAGGGCTTTACCCTCCTAGTTAGGGCGCTGTCACTTCAGCCTTACAAGTGGGCCTGGGGGAGAGGAAATCTTTTTGAACTGTTTTTAGACCAAACCCAGCCTATAGGTTAATTTTGTTTGGTGCAATATTAATTCCAACATTGTTGTAAAATTTTGAATTCATTTCCAACATGTAAATATTAGTGGACTTCATATAAAATTTTAGAAAACTACCTTCTCTTATAAACCAGAGAGACCGGCTCCACCGGCTGTACTGGCTCCACTTTAGGGGGCATTGCACCCCACTGGAGGCTCTTCTCTGTTTCCAGCACTGTCTCATGTGGCTTAGCCACCGATTTTCAACTTAACTTTCTTTTTTATTTGTTTGTTTTGATACACACACACACTTTTTAAAAAATTATTTATTTATTAATTTGAGGGAAGTTCTCTCTATTTAGTCCTGGAACTAACTATGTCAACCAGGCAGGTCTTGAACTTCACAGAGATCCTCTTGCCTCTGCCTCCAGAGTGCTGGGATTAAAAGCTTGCAACACTCAGGTCATCAGTCTTGACAGCAAATGCCCTTACCCACTAAGCCATTTCTCTAGCATGGAACTTCATACTCTTAATGCTATACAGTGTGCTGGTAAGTGGTCTGTTAGCTTGACGAAGGCTAGAGTCACTGGAAAAGAGGGAAGAACCTCGGTTGTGTAAATGCTTCCATTCGACTGTCCTGTAGGCAGGTCTGTGGGACATTTTCTTGACTAGTGATTGGTGTGGGAGGATTCAGCCCTCTGTGGGTAATCCTGTCCCAGCACGTGATCCTGGGTGGTATAAAGAAGTTGTCTGAGCAAGTCGTGTGGAACAAGCCAGTCCCAGGGTTCCTCCACGGCGTCTGCTTCAGTTTTCATCTCTAGGCTCCTCCCGAGTCCCTACTCTGACCTCCCTTCATGATGGACTGTAAACTGTAAGGTGAAATAAGCCCTTCCTCCCCAAGTTGCTTTTGGCTATGGTCTTTATTATAGCAATATGACAGATGGTGACCCATGCTGTAGTAATATGAAATGACCTTCTGATTTTTCAGTAATTAAAAGTAACTGTTCTTCACTGTTAAAACTGTAATCCACAGCTGGGCATTGGTGGTGCACGTCTTTACTCACAGCACTCGGGAGGCAGAGGCAGGCAGACCTCTGTGAGTTTGAGGCCAGCCTGGTTTCCAGAGTGAGTGCCAGGACAGGCTCAAAAGCTACACAGAGAAACCCTATCTCAAAAAAAAACCCAAAACAAGAAAAAAAACAACAAAAACAAAGAAAAAAAACCCTAGTAATTCACTAATTATCTGAAATTAATGGAATTATAAATGTGTATACATTAACATACATAATGTTTTTGTTCTTTCAGAATCCGACCCTAAAACCAAAACTTAAAGAGGGAGAAGAAGACAGTGAAGGCCCTTCACAGGAACCAGAGGTCAGCAGACTGCTAAAGGCAGCATCATTCCCTTTTATGTGTGACTAATTCCTCTTTTAAGTGTTAGGACCCTTGGTCCGGTGTTAGTAAACACGGGAAAATTCCGCTCCGTGTATACTGGGGTAGCCAGTCTATTCTTCACCGGAATCGTGCAGGGCATTCTGAGCACTCAGGTCAGGGAGTGAGGTGGTAGCTGTTCTGAGCAGGCGGGGCAGGGTAAGGGAGGTGCTCTTCATCCTCAGGGGCAGGGTAAGGCCTGTGTGATAGCATCCTGCTTGTCAGCCTTTCTGGCCTTGTGATGCTTGGGTGCTTTTTGCAATTCCTCATGTTCCGTGTTTCATCTGTCTTGGGGAACCATCGTTAGGCACAGGCAGATGAGGAAATGGCAGTCGAGAGCTTGCACAGTCCCTAAGGCTGTTGTCCCTACTTTCCTTCATGAGTCTTGAAGGAAATGGTCCACAGCTATGAGGTCGGCATTATGCCGCTCACTTTCTGTGCGTCAGAGGGTGTGATTTTGTATCGATGTGTGTCTAAACATGTTGGCTTCTTTTATTTACCTTTGTAAATACTTATTTTATTACTTTAAAATAAAATACTTATTTTATTTACCTTTGTCTCAAATCTTAATCCTGACTATAGCTCCTTGGATTTTTGTAACTTCCCTGATGTTTATGTCTGAACTTTGTTTTTCCTTGTTTATTTTCCTTCCAGAGATGTGAAAGAGCGGAGTCCTTAGCAAAAATCAAAGCAAAAGCCTTTTCAGCTGTTGCCCAGGTAGGTTCCTTGTTCAGTAAGCCAGCGTACAGTCTGCTGGCTCCTAAGTGGCAGATTAGCTTTCATCCATGTAATCCATATACACAGTTTAAGAATCAGTCACCCAGGCTGGAGAGATGGCTCAGAGGTTAAGAGCACTGGCTGCTCTTTCAGAGGTCCTGAGTTCAATTCCCAGCATCCAACCACATGATTGTCACAACCATCTGTAATGGAATCTGGTGCCCTCTTTTGGCCTGCAGGCATACATGCAGGCAGAACACTGTATACAAAAAAAAAAAGTCAGTTACCCAGCAGTCTGGCCTGTACCCCCGGCAGTGCCTTGCTATCACCTCTTGCCCTGTGTGCCTGACCTGGAGAGGTGCTGTGTGCTTCTCGTCTAGCTCTTTCCGAGAATGTTGAAGCCATGTTCTCTGTCCTCTTCTAGGAGGAATGGGAGTTTGCTTTGTCCCCAAAGTTCAGAAAGTCCTTGGGAATGTCACTTGAGTTTTTATTGATTGTTGGCATTCAGCTGGCCATCATTTCAGCCTGAGACCTTTGTGCCTTAAGAATCTTTTTAATTACTGTTTTTTTTTTTTTGTATCTTTCTCTTTACCCATCTTGTTTTTTCTTTGCTGTTTTCAGACTGTTTCTGTTAGGGTGTTTCTTAAATGTTAACTTCTTGGCCATTGATTTTTATTGTTATTTTTTTTAGTATTTGTGCTGACATTTTTGTCTTTACTGAGACTATTCTTATTCTTTGAATGTTTCCTTAAACATATTTTTGCCTTTTTTTTTACAGGATACAATGTCTGTCATTATCGATATTAATTTAATTACAGTTTTTGATGTTTTCTCCCATTTCCTTTGAATCCTTTTCTCTGTTTATTTTGGTCTCTGCTTTTCATTCTCTTGGCTTTGTTCCAGAAGATCGGAGCTCCTCAGATGTCTCTTTATATTGAGTGACTAACTGTTGATGCAGGCTTTTAACGCCTTCATTTCTGTTCCTTGGATCTAGTCATTTTACCAAAGAGGAGGCTTCCATTTCCTTTTCTGAGAGAGGAGGGTGGGAAGCAAGCCCAACTGCCAGTGTTTTCGGAGCTTTCAGAGGGTCAGTCAGGAGGCATGGAGTCCGTGCTCCGGCTGCCTTCTGCCGCCTCCTCCACGGTGCCATCTTTGGTTTTTTCCTTCCTTCCTCCCACCTTTCCTCTCTCCCTTCCTTTCTCCCTTCCTCCTTCCCTCCCTTCATTTATTATTAAAATCCTAAATCTCACTGGTTTGTTTTTCCCAGAGAATAGACTCCTGTTGTCCTATGGAGGTGGTCTACTGCCTAGCTTTGAGGCCAGGGAGTAGGACACGGTTCCCTGTGTAGCTTTTCACTGTCTCCCTATGGTTTTTATGCAGTTCTAGTGGGGTGAGTGTTTTGTAGTAGTTCTTGTGTGGCCATTAGATTTCTTTCTTTCTTTTTTTTTTTTTTTTTTTTGAGACAGGGTTTCTTTGTGTAGCTTTATAGATTGGGCTGGCCTCGAACTCACAGAGATCCTTCTGCCTCTGCCTCCCGAATGTTGGGATTAAAGTCATGCACAACCACCACCTGGCCTCATTCGTAATTCTATGTGTTTTTCTTGGAGTGAGAGAGAGTGTGTGTGTGTGTGTGTGTGTGTGTGTGTGTGTGTGTGTGTGTGTGTGTGTGAGACTATTTTATGGAAAAGCAAACATCATTTTCTGACTGTAGGAATAGAAAGTAATAATCATTCCAAATAATCAATATTTGGAATGACTCTCCACTGGTTAGGTGTTATGAGATTGCTGTACAAAGTAAGCTGAGTATAAGACATTGAAAACATACTGAGAAAGATAAGTGGATTACATTCTGTTATTTTTAACTAGAATTCTCTTTATGTATAGAGAGAATTTGTTGCCAAATGATGTCTAATATATATCTTAAGATATCAGATAATTTTGAAAATCTAATTACATCATACCCCACAAGTTGTTCCAAGTATATCATTGCACAGCTGTAGTTTTTTTTCCCTCTTGAGGTACAACTGTCATCTTACATAATTGCTCCTAAATACTCACTGATAAGGTTTATCTTTGTGACTTCAAGGCCAGCCTGGTTTATATAGTTTATATAGCCAGGGCTGTGTAGAGGGACACTGCCTCAAAACAACAGCAACAAAGCCCTTGGCTTGCTGTGGTCTTAGATACCACTAGGACTGGAACTTCCCCCCTCTTTTCCTGTCTTTCTTTTTAGTGCTGGTCCTGGCTTTGGGTTCGAAGCTGGTGTTTCCTTCCTGGTAGTTACAGTTCTAAAACACAGTGAACAAGTCACAGTGTTGTGGGTATGTAAAACCCATCTTGACCAGTCGGGGCGAGCTAGACAAACAGGGGGAGGTGCATCACTATTAGTCCAACCCCACTCTTGTGAGATTCATTGGCTAACCATTCTAGATAACAGCCACTGCATTTTAACCCAGTGTGAGCTGATGCTGAGGTAGCTGTAGGAATTGGTCATAAAGATAAAAGTCTATGTCTGCATACAAACTATGTATAGTACAAGCCTGGTAATAGTAAAGGGCATGATGACATGTGTTTCTGCTTTCCTCACCTTTGTGGTCTGTCCTTTGGATCCATTTTGTCATTCATTGTGAGTAATTGGATTTCTGTTAATAAGGCATCCAAGTCCAGGAGGCATCGCCAAGCCAAACTTGACTCTTCGGACTCTGATTCCGGGTCTGGACAAGGGCAAGGCAAAGCAGCTAAGAAAAAAAGAACCAGAGAGACAGCAGCAGAACCAAGAGGAAGGAAGAGGGCTTCCAGGAGCAGAGGTACTTTGCTTTAAAAGTCTTACTAGGCCTGGCAAGGGTGTAGGATCTTATTTCTAGGTTGGGTCACAGTTGGGTGTTGGGTGTGAAGGGGAGACATCTGCAATGCCAGCATTCAGCAGGCTGAGGCAGGAGGAGTGCCTGTTTAAGGCCAGCTTGAGCTACATATGCATAGTAAGATCCTGTCTCAGAATAAAAGAGATTTGTGTGGGAGCATCGTGGAATTTAATATTAAAAATAACCCATTTTCATAGCTTCTTGGGCTCTTGTTGCTGGAGACCCTAGAGATTTTATCAAATTTACTATTCAGTGTAACTATATTAGTAATGATGTGTGTGAATTAAATTACATCTAGAAAAAGGCCAATAAGTAATGCAGTCTATAAACTCTTCTCTCCTTCAGTTAAATTCATTAGGCTATCTCTGTTTTTCCTTTGTAATAGAGTATCCGCAAAATGATCTTATCATTTGATGTTTAAATGCCCATGTATTTTAATGATTGGATGTTTCAAAAGTTGAATAAATGCTATATGCCCAGCACAGCTAAGGTTGGAATGTGTTAGTAGCAGAAAGCACAATAGAAACATTCACAAATACTTAATTTTATCAGACATGCTCCTAGCTACCTCAGGGGTTTGGGAAAGTAATTTACAGCCTCTGAACACGTTTCTTTTTCCTGTATTGAGACTGTGGAGGGGGAGTTGAAGTTAAATAGCTTCAGTGTATGTCAGATATAATTTTGTGCTGTGATGGTTGCTAGAGTGGGGTAAGAAGTTAGAGGGAGAAGCCGTGGTTGTTAAGCATAGCCAAGAAGTGCTTTCAGGAACTGGCAGGCACAGTGAAGACAGCTTTGGGGACAAACTCCAATTGTAAAAAAAATCCTAAAGTACAAAAAACCAGGCCCCCAAACCAAAAGCTCTTCCTGACTCCAATTGTTCTAGGAAACAATCATGATGCAGTTAATTGGAATCTATTAATATAGTTTATCTTATATTGGCCTAAAGGGGAAAATATATGAAAATTGTAATAATTATCAGAGGAGATACTGGCTACTCTCTACTAGCCATCCTTGGTTTTAAAAACACTCTAGATTAGGGGATAAAGGTTCAGATACCTAGTATTTTAGACTTCATAGGCTAAACAACTTTCACAGCTTAGTCATGCAGCTACTGGTGCAATGTGCAAGTAGCTACAGACAATCCAAGAACAAATGGATATAGTCCAGTAAAAGTACACTTCTAAGTCGGTGGTGGGTCAGCTTCACTCCAGACAGAGCCATAGCAACCCTGCCCTGGAGAAAAGAAACAGATACTCCTTTAATTTTTAAAGACAGACAGACAGACAGACAGCCTAACATTAGCAGTGATACACTAGAAGAATGCTTCATCTGACATTGCTAGTTGGCGTGATTGGGAACATGAACTTGTACATTATCAGAGAAGCTACACAGTTTTCCTGGTGTGTGAGTAGCCAATGTTATATGTAAAAGGTATTCTAGAATTAGCTGAACAAAAAATTAAGACCCAAAGTTTTAGTAAAGTAGGAGAACCTGCTACAGAAGTTAGAGCTGAAAGTGTTCATAAAGAGAATCTGGTAATTTTAGTAGTCTAGTAAGTCAAATAGTGACAGATTACAAAGTTTTCAGAAGACACAAAATAGGAAATCTGAACAACCTTTTATCTACTAAAGAAATGAAACTTGAAGATGCACTACTAGATGTCTCTGTAAAATTGTTTTGTTCGGGCCCGGGAATTGTCCTGCGGGCACACCCACCACGGCTCACATCTCTAGTCCTCTGCTCTTTGCAACAGGCTCTTGCCGTCTAGCTCAGGGAGGCCTTGAAGTCTCAGCCATCCTACCTCAGTGCCCGGCGTGCTGGGATTAGTCATGTGCCATGGCACCCAATGTATAGATGTTTAAGAAAAGAGTAATGTTCCTATACAAATGCTTTCAGAAAATAGAAGAGGGAACACTTTTTACCTGCTTGTTATTGCACGAAGTGAAACTCTAAGACCAGTACCTTTCATGAGCAAAACTCCTTGCTAGATAAAGCAGATCAGATCCAGCAGCTTATTGGAAGCAGATCAGATCCAGCAGCCTATTGGAAGGACACATTATGGGCATTTAGACTATATCCCAGTAATTTAAGAAATAATCTGGCGTAATTCATATTAGCTTTTTTAAGAGAAAACCTCTGGCTGGAGGGATGGCTCAGAGGTTAAGAGCACTGACTGCTCTTCCAGAGGTCCTGAGTTCAATTCCCAGCAACCACATGGTGGCTCACAACCATCTGTTATGAGATCTGGTGCCCTCTTCTGGTGTGCAGATATACATGGAAGCAGAATGTTGTATACATAATAAATAAATAAAATCTTTAAAAAAAAAAAAGAGAAAACCTCTCGTAGGTAAGGAAAGGATATCGACAAATCTATGATCTGCTCATGGTAGAAACAAAGAATTACTGTTAGATGGAAAAGAACCTAATGGATTGTAGCAGGCACAGACTTTAACATCATCTTTCATGAGGATAGAGAATTGGACTCTGGAAGAGCAGCCGGTAATTGCAGCTCCTGATCTTTTTTTTCCAGTTGAGTGGGTAGTCACTATTGAGTAGAGAGTGTTACGCATTCTGGATACAAGATCTTTATCTGTAATCAGGATTGTATTTTTCCAGACTGTAGCTAGATTTCTCCCTCTCCCTCTCCCTCTCTTTTATAACAGTGTCTTACAAAGATAAGAATTTTAGTGGATTCCCATGCTAGGGAGTTCAGAGGCAGGCAGATCTCTATGAGCTCCAGGCCATACACGGCTACATAGTGAGACCCTGTCTCAAGAGGAAAAAATAAAGAAATAATTTGAATTGTGTTTGTCATGTTTTGTTTTGTTTTTGTGAAGACAGGGACTCAGGCAGCCCAAGCTCATCTTGGCTCTCTGTGTAGACACAGATGGCCTTTAAACTCCTGAACCTCCTGCCTCTGCCTCCCTGGTGCTGGTACTGTATTCATACATGCTACCACACTGGCTTAAGAACTTTAATTTTGAAGAAGTGCAATTTATCACTTGTTCTTTTTTGACTCATGCTTTTTGTGTGTTACATGTAAGAAAGTCTTTATCTGAGAACAGTTTTTCAGTTTTGTTTTGTTTTTTTTTCTTCTCCTACACATTTTGGAACTTTAAACATCACTTTTATGTCTGTGGCACATCTGAATCACTTTGTTATTTATGCAGTAAAATATATCAGTATCATTTAAGACAACCCTTTATCTACCAAATGGCCTTCACACTTTTGTCAGAAATAAAACAGACCATCTCAATGGTTCAGCAGGTAAAGGTGCTTGCTGCCAAGCCCGACAGCCTGAGATTAGTTTTCCGGACCCTGATGGCAGTAGGAGAGAACCAGTTTTCAAAAGTTGTCCCGTGACCTCCACATGCACACTGACACAGGTGGGCCTCAGTCTTACATACATAGTCACGTCACAAAAAAGATTTTACTGTTATTGTGTATGCACGATGTATGCGTTTAAGAATTACTTTGTATTTATTTTAAAAATCTAGCAAGGCTGGAGAGATGGTTCAGTGGTTAGGATCACTGGCTGTTCTCTGTGGCACCCAGGTTCAGTCCCAGCATCTGCATGGTAGTACACAACTGGCTGCATCTCCAGATCCAGGGCAGCTGATGTCTCTTTCTGGTCTTTGGGGGCATTAGGCACACAAATGGTACACAGACACACATGCAGGCAAACTACCCATGCACATAAAATAAAAATAAAGAAATCTTTAAGAATCTAGAGGAAGTCCATAGACTTAGAAAAGCAGAGGAGATGGCTTGAAAAGGACAATGTCTGGGTGTATAGAGTGAAGTCCATATTGGGTCACATGGAAGCACTGTTAACTTTTAGTAATTCTGGAAAATATATGTTGAGTATTTTATTACAGCCTGACCTCAAAAACAGAGTCAGCATACTAGGTTTAACATGGTAGGCAGAGGTGAGTGACATGACTTGAGTTTCCTTGAAAACCAGGAGTAACATGGTATGGTATGTTTGAGATAACAGACCACAGTGGGCTGCTATGGTAGCTCAGGGTTAGGAGTGGTATAATGGCCTTAGCTGTAGGAACTAGAGGGCATCTTGACAGTTACGCAGGTAGATATGGCGTCTGATGTGGGGGATGAGATAGACATGCTAAGTCTCAGCTTGTGGAGGATGCTGGTGGGTAAATGCTGGGCAGATATGGGTGGTGTGGTGAGATTATAGGGTTGTGCCCAAGTGCTGAGTTTATAGGTGTGTGCCACTGTGCCCAGTGACACAAATATTTTAATACTTAAGAAAAGCTTTGAGGGAGATAAAGAGAGGAACCAGTCAAGGCTAAGGATGAAAAGGAAGTATAAGGAAACCTGGCACTTGGTAAGCTAATGAGAAAATAAACATTTAAAGGGTTTGTATTCTAGAATGCTTAATTATGTTATTGTAATTTCAGTGTTGAAACATGTAAGATTAGTATTCTTTGTTTTTATATACAGCTATGTCTCTCTATCTCTAAATATGCCTAGGTAACGTTCAGAATGAACGGAAGGAAGAGAAGTCTTTATGCCTGAGTATGCCCATAATTGCCGAAGAGGAGGAGGAGACTGACAACTTCAGCGAAGCAGGTACCGGTGCATCTCATTATTAGTGAAGGGACTTGGACTTGCAGAGCGGCAGGGTTAGAGCCCTCCCCATGACAGGTGACTCAGTTCTTCTGACCCTTTTCCTTTGGCTCACTGGAGCACATCAGTGTTACACTGATAACCACTTCTCCTCCTCCTCCTCGTTCTCCTCCTCTTCCTCCTCCTCCTCCTTCTTTCTTCTTCTTACCCCCCCCCTTCCCTGGCATTCCCTTTTTATTTTTCATTGATGGGAAATATTTCTTTCTATCATGTCTTTCTAATGTTCTTCTTTCTGTGTCTTGTGTTTAATGATGGTTATTTGCATGACTGTTATGCATTAGCTATGAGAGCCAGAAAGATACAGAGCACATACATGTTGTGTTATGCTTCCAGGTTTCATTGTAATGGACTCAAAGTCTTCACTTTCTCTTTGCAGTAGCCTAGACAACTCTCACTTATATTGCCCTGGGTTCGTGTTAATTATAGGGAAGGCATCCCCCTGGGGAAATTTAAGCAACTTAATAATTATGAAGTAGGATTTAGAGTGATGCAGTCCTATCTTATTGACATCTCAGTAAGACTGCAATCCTGCTGTTTCATTGGAGATAGGAGTTTCTAAACTGCAATTTCATTGGAAGAAAGCACATGTATGTCATAGCTAAGATTTTTTTTTTTAAGTTAGCAGTAAGGTAATGGGCTCCATTGTGTCATTAAATTCATATATTAAAAATTAATTACATATATGATAATATATTGATTATATATATATATCACATTTGTGTGTGTGTTGTTCATCTTCCTCATTGCTTCCCTCTTGGATCTTGGCTGTGAGGACATTGTTGGGTTAGACTAGTTAAACACTTATACAGGTGAAGTTCATATTATTCGTTAAGGCTGTCATTTAAATGTCAATTTTTTAAAAGAATTGATGGAATTCTTAACCTTATATCCATAGAGTTCACTGCACCCAAGAGGAAAAGAAAGCGCTGACCAGGAGCCTGGTGGAGTTTTATTTCAATTCTGAGCTTTCTTACAGAAGAACAGGTTTGTTTTGTTCTGAGCAGGAGGCTGGCCAGCGAGGACCAACGTACGAGAATGAGGTCATTTCTGTGAAATGGGAGAGCCCGACATAGGTCAAGAGTTGGAATACAAGTTTATTCTGAAGTTTAATTTAACATTTCTGTTAAAAGTCTGTGTGAATGGAGATAAAGTTTGCATTTAGAATGTAAACAAAGAATTGTGCATTTGTGGGTTTATACTATTTCCCGAAAGTTTTTGTGATATCACCTTAATGCATCACTGCAATATTTTCTATCCTAGTTTAAAAAATTTTCTTAAAATAATTTTTATACATAAATGACTCATACCTGTCACCTAGCAATGGATTGGACTGTGGTTTAGGTTTAATATTTTATGTGTTATTATGGTTAGGTGCAATAAAATTTTTGTCCCACTTGCTTTATGAAATTTGCAATTTGACTAATAATTTAGAACTTTAACACTCCTTTTGTACTTAATGTTGTATTCCTATTTGTCCATTTACTAGACAGCATCTTGCTGTTTATGCTAGGTTGGCCTTGAACCTTCCATGCTCTTGTCTCAGCCTCCCCACTGCTGAGATTGTAGACGTGCACCATCTTGCCTCACTCGTTAGCTTCTTCAGTGTTTGCTTTAAAGTTCCCGTTGGTCTACTGTCCATGGATACATACCTACATGTGTGTGTCCTTGTCTACACATAACATTAGTTAATAAATTATTTAATGCTTATATACTACTTTCTAGTAAGCCTTGAGGGGCACTAATAGAAATTTCAGAATGTGTCTTTGACACAGAATGTTTGTAAATCACAGGAAAAAATTTCTATAGCATCATGCATGTGCTCCTTTTTTAATTTCTCCTCCCAGGAGTTTTAAGTGGAAGTTGCTTGAGAGTGTTTGAATGCTGCCAGAAAGAAGTGGATTACCTCCATGACATGTGGCTAGTTCAGCCTGACGTGTAGTTAATTATTAAGGTTCCATGTCTGGGTTGAGGAGAAAATTTCCAAATCTGATATGATTGAAAATATGTATCTTGTAAAAAAAGAAAAGAAAAGAAAAAAGAAAATATATATCTTGTATATGTAGTATTTTAAGATCAAAATATCAATGTTGTATTGGGTAGAACTTGGGTTTGCTATCCTGTTGGCTACTAGGACTAATTTCAGCTCTGTCTGATAATGAGTGGGACACTCCAGATGTTTATAGGCATTTTACAGCTGTAACACTATATGGCTGAGTCGTAATCTATTTTTCACAAAGCACTCATAGAATACGTGATATTATTTCACAGACTAAAGCAATGATGAGTAGTAATACTTGAGGCAATACTTCCTGTCATAATAACCGAAAAGTTGATCAGACTAAGCTTGTTGTTCATTTGACAGCTGAAGGGAATCCTAATTTCCTTATGTTGATTTTTGTTTTTGTTTGTTTGTTTTTTTAGTTTGACACATATACCTTAAGAGCAACAAAATTAGTGTTGACATACATCCTTGTGTTGATTTTAATTAAGTATAATATATACTCTCTTCTCAGCCTACTTTGGGTATAGTGAAAAGATTGATATCTCTGTCTGTCTGTCTACTTACAATCTGCCTTTTTTTTTTTTTTTTTTGAGACAGGGTTTCTCTGCACAGCCCTGGCTGTCCTGGAACAAGTTCTGTAGACCAGGCTGACCTTGAACTCATAGAGATCCACCTGCCTCTGCCTTCCGAGCTCTGGGATTAAAGGCATGTGCCACCACCACCTGGCTCAAGCTGCCTATCTCTTGAGAAAATATCTTTTTTTTTTTTTTTTTTTTTTTTTTTTTTGGTTTTTCGAGACAGGGTTTCTCTGTGGCTTTGGGGCCTATCCTGGAACTAGCACTTGTAGACCAGGCTGGTCTCGAACTCACAGAGATCCGCCTGCCTCTGCCTCCCGAGTGCTGGGATTAAAGGTGTGCGCCACCAACGCCCGGCTCGAGAAAATATCTTAAAAATGAACTTTATGCACTGAAAATTACTTTTATTTTTCCTAGGTTAGCTTAGGAAAATAACCATAGTTACTAATGCTTCCCTTACCCTTGGTTCTTGAATTAAATTACAGTTTGAAGAAGGCTTACTTTTTAAATGGCTTGGAAAGAACTCCGTGGGTGTTAAACTATTCACATTTTCATTTATCTTTTGAACGACTATGTAGTAATCTTCATTGCACATTTTCCTTATTCTCTCTCTGTGTTAATGTAAATGTCAAATTCCAGACTTGAGGTTGTATAATCTCTTTTATGTGATATTTTTAAGTGCTTGAATTATTCATTCTACTGTGATGTGTATTACCGGTTTGAATTTTTATTTTAAGAGACATTTGAGCAGGCTCCTTTCAGTTGGAAGAAACAAAAGCATCCTCCCACTCTCTTAAATGCTAGAAGCTTACTGAAAGAATACGGCTAAGTAAGTAGGGACCCCGTCAAAGACACCTCTTCCTCAAGGACTTGGAAAGTAACTGTAGGCCTCCTTTATATCAGTTGATGCTACTAACTAGGATAGAGATCCCTGGTACACTCGGGGTGACCTATGTACACAACAGAAGACAGAGAAGGACCCATCTGTGGCAGCTTTCCTAGAAAAGGTGAACCGGCAGGCATTTTGAACCTCAAGATTTCCCAGTGTGATCATGATGTCATCAAGGAGGGACATAGACATTACCTTCACAGATAGCCACACTGCACAGTGGTAAAGAACATCCACTCTGAGCATCTGGTTTTGCTCTGGCATTACAATGTACACCTGGCGTTTAATACCGTCTGTAATAGTTTGGGGCCGCATATACTGTAACTCAGTGTTAGGCTGGCAAGAGCTCCCCCACTGAGCTATACCTGTCCTTTGTTCTATTAGCTCAGTTTCACATGATGGACTTGGAATTTACTGTGTAGCCCAGACACGCCTTGAACCTTCTATCCTTCTGTCGCAGCTTCCTGAATAGATGGATCAATAGACTGCCACCCAGCCCAACTATTCCTGTTTTCGACAAACAGTTCTATGTTTACCCACATATAAACCTTATCCATTGCACTTATTTCTTTGTGAAAGCCATGCTTATATCTGCAATGGATCTTTTTCAATCTGAAGAAAGTCCTGATTTCTTGAAGCTCAGCACTGTTGCAGACCAACCAGTTCTATCATTTTTTCTTTGTCTGAAAAATATCTTTTCATCCTCATTTTGGAATGGTATTTTTGTAAGATTTAGAATTCTAGCTAGATAGCTTTTTTCCCCCTTCCTGTCAATACCTATAAGATTTTTTCCATTCCATCATCTAATGGGAAACTATTCCTCTGGTTCCCTTGTAATCCTTTTATTTGGCTGTATTATGTTTTTATATTTTGTTGCTGGGAACCGAAACTGCAGCCTTGCATGTGCTCAGCGCAAGCTTATCCAAGAGTTCCTCCAGGTTTCCTCTGGTTGCCTGCAGTCTGGTCTTTTGTTGTTACTGTCACTCAACAATTTGAAATGTGTGTGGTGTGGTTGGTTTTTCTAACCCATGATTCTTACTGTACTGACCTCACTTGCTTTGCTCTCTGGGGCTTCAGTTATGTCTGTTAATCACTTAGGACTGTCTCATGGATCATATTTCATCTTCTCCAATAATACTTGTCCTGTGCTTCAGGGTGCCTATTGGTCTGTCTTCAAGTTCATGAAGTTTCCTCTTCTTGTATTTGATCTGCTTTTCATTTTCTCCAGTATTTTTTAATTTAGAGGCATTAATTTTTCTGAAATTTCTTCTTGATTCCTTTCCATAGATTTCTATCTTCATTGCAATGACTTGTTTGTCACCCACT